ATTGGGGGGGGTTTCCAAAAATAGGAAATATGCACAAAAAGGGTTTTACCCCAAACCCCCCCCGCCCTTTTCCCCCCCAATAGCCCCCCCCCCCCCCCCCCCCTCCAGGTCACCGGACCGCCTTCGCGAGAAAGAGCGTTTACGAGGAAGGGGTACGCAGACCCTATCCCTAACACCACTTCCCCCATTGCATACGCTTGCTTGAAGACGAAAATATCCTTCGAAGGCTACCTATCTATCTACCTATCTATCCACCTATCTACCTATCTACCTATCTACCTGCAGTCACCTTAACGTCGTCGAGGTCTAAGGTATCCAGCGGAGTCTTGGTGAAGTCGTGCAGCATGCCGTGCTCTCCCACTTGCGGCTTCGCCGCCACCTTCTTCGCTTTGTTCGCCGCTGCCGCCCCGCCCCTGAGCTTAGCGTTGCCGTTGAACAGCAGTCCCCGTCTGTAACGCACTATAATCATACATCATAAATATCACACAACAAAAAACGGTAGGCAGACGCGACACACAGGGTGAAGGAAGTGAAGATATGTGTTCCAACCTCGTCATGGGGGGTGTGCTGATTGCGGGTGTGTCCAGAGCCGCAGAGGTGCAAGGGAACAAAAGCACTGAAACTGCTCTGACGTGCTTCTGGATCACGATGGAAGGCATTGACACTGAGAGGAGGTGCACCTGATGTTCGAAAGTTGACTGCTGTTACGATATGGTCAACTATCACGATCGCTAGAAATAAGCCTCGTACTTTTGTCTCTTGCCGTTACAAGCAGCATAAGCCCCTTTCAACATACGATACTGGGGTATAACTGTTTGCTCACTTTCTCGACTCCTGGTCTTCTCTCTTCGACTGCTGTGCTGTTTCTCTCAGTAGCCAGCAACCAAGTAGTTCCGAAAGGAAGCCTTCTATCCAATAGGGTGTATCTCTCCGCCTCCTCCGCGCCCACCCACCCGCGCTTCCTTGAGCTGTATATACTGCAACTCTGGTGTTTGTATTCAGGAAGCTTCCTCAGGAAAAATCCCGTCAACCATTGCGTTCGACCAAGTCGTTAGCACCCGTCGATTTTTTGGAGACCGCATGGTTTGTTCGCATAGTATCTTGACTACACTATTATAGTGGTCGTGCTGTTGTCAGAGATACCCCAGTTTACCTTCGGCAGGACTGGCCTCTGTTGTCGCGCTATAGGCAAGACTGGCCTGTTGTCGCCGCATGGTGTTTACCCCTACACTAGTACAAGTAGTACAGTAACCTTTTCTCACCTGGCAACGACTCTGAACCCTCGTTTGCCGCCGCTGGTGGGGCCACCCCCCACATCGACGACGACGCCGTCATCCCCACACCCGACCCCCCCTCGACACCAACACCATCCGCGTCGCCCCTGGGATCCGCGGCACTTCTTTTAGCGTCCTTACGGTCCACTCCCACAAAACTCATCGCCCGCTGCTGGTTCTGTGGCGGCCCTCTTTTAAGCATTTTCGCAGTGAAAATAGGGGAAGAGGTACGTGGGGGGTGGGGTTACAGGGGATGGCAGCTGTTAAGGTAGTTGCTTTAAACAAAAATAATACGATCGTCTGCATTAGCAACTTTTCTCCCTACTGCTGTACACCCACCGTAGCTCGTTATCAGCAGGCGTTGCTGGAGCCACCTTTGCGGAACTCGGCATAAAGTCATTAGGCTTTGGCATTTTCTTGACGCACCTCCCTCCCCCTGTGCGATATCTGAGAACTGGGCGACAGCAAATACAATCATACTCGCAGAATAAATAGGTAAATAGATCGATGTTCTTGCTGCCCACCGGCGCTAACGCCAGTACGTACGCATAGCAGCGTGGTTACTGGCACGCTGCGTTGATGTGCACCTACCGGTGACCGGCGGGGAAGAGAGAATGGTTGCCGAAGCGTCAAGAACGTTGTCTGACCCGGTTGCCTGCTATGAGCACATGCATACCATATTATTGCCTTCCTGCATCGTTCTTTTCTTGGCGATGTCTTCCGACAACTCCGGGCTGCTTGCTATGGCACCGCTCGCAAAGTATCAATACCGCGGGTGGCTCTTGTCTAGCTATAGCTATGCAAGACCTCTGAAGGAAGGTTAAGGAAGGTTTACACGTGGCTGCAGCACTACCAACAAGATGCAAAAAAGTAGTGAGACAACAACGTTTACCGCCGTACCACGTATCTCGCCAGCGAAATCAAAACAGAGTACACACGAAGGAGGGAGGACAAGGACAAGGACAAGGACATGCATGCCTCGTGAGGAGGCTGTCTCCAACCGCCTGCACATTCTCGCTCTCCAAGTTATTCTTTACATAGTGGTGCAATAGCGCCGCTGCGTACAGCCCAAGAGCAAAATGGAAGCGAGAGCGGAGAGCAACTGCAACTGGCCGACGCCCATTAACAGCGCCATCACCTCGAGGCGTCGAGAGTGCTGCACTAACAAGAGAGAGAGAGAGAGAGAGAGAGAGAGAGAGAGAGAGCCACGCCGGATCAAGACCAGACATGAACCACGTTGGCCTCATACGGCAACTGCTGTGGGAATGGAAACGTGGAAACACCACCACCATCCGCCCTCCAAGGCCCTCGAAGCATCGTGCGTAGACAAGGATCAAATCTCATGAACGGATTTTCCCAATCCCGGTCGCAGCGACAACATCATCGAAACTTGGGAAGCCGATCTCAATATCATTGGCTCAGCACCCCGTGGTTGCGAAGAGACGAACAGATCAATACACATAGAAACCGTAACAAGGAAAATGTACTCCGTAAATAAATTAAATGTCGCCACCAGCGGTCGATCTATCAACGCGGGAAGAGAGCAACCTTGCGATTAGTTGATAAAAATAGAACATCACACACCTCACAGGGCATGAATGCTTGCCATTTTCAGAAGTTGCCTCCGTGTTCATGGTCAGAAAACACGCAAGACGTGACATGTCTCGCGTTGGAACACACCCCATCCACCCCTCCATAGTTACTCCGCTCAAATTACGTTCAGAGCTTGTTTCTTCAAGAACAAGAAGTCATTCTAACTACAAATTGTGTGCGTATTCTTTCAATATACATTGTGTAGTACGCACACACCCTTCGATTGTTCGATTGAGGTACTTTAGTATTGTATTTTCTCCAACGAACGGGTAGTCTGCAGCAGCGACTGTTTGCACCCATTTCATGCAAACAGCGGTATGTACCAGGCAACAAGTCCAAGGGAGCGGGCACCACGGCGTACATCGTGTCCACACACAACAACCACCCGCGGATATTTCAGAAAATTTTGGAACATTCGGTGCGAGGGGAGGATGCAGGTTTGATGTTTGATGAATGGAGTGCGGGTACTACAGAGTACAGCGAAGCATTCGTTTCGCTGCTGCTGTGTCGGAGGTCTAAGGAGTCCTTTTACGTGATGCACGAAAATCTTCTGGGAAGTAAGAGAGGACAGGGGGGGGGGTGGGACTTGTACGCTGAGTGAAGCACCCGATCGGTACATTGCCCATCGAACCACACACACATCGAAGGGCCCATCATCGCCTCCTCCGGATAATATTTACAGCAGTAGTACAACAATTATTCCGATTCCCGACAGAGTCGTTCCTGACACCTTAGACCCCCCATCATTAGATAGAACTACGAGAGCAAGGGGGGGGGGGGGGGGGAGAGGAGTAACAAGCACCGATCCTGCCAGAACCTCAACCCCGCCGCATGGCTACTGCTGTATCACTGTATCACTGTATCACACCATGCCTGCTACTCCTTACCCCCTTCCCTTGATGGCGGAGATACACACATTGGTTCGTCGTGTACGCTATCGAGTGTAACACTTACAGGATGGCAACACCCGCCACAAGGAGCACCAGAACCGCACCACTCAACGCCACCGCGGCTGCCCGCCCCCGCGTTCTTCGGCCGCCTTCCCTCGCGGACGCTTCGCCTTCTCCGCTATGTCTTGGCGCCGCCGCCGCGCCTCCCCTTCCGACCATGCTGTTCTTCTTCTGGCATCGGGGTGGTTCGTCCTTCGATGGTAGCGTCATAGTTCCCTGCACCACGGAGAAGTAAACCAGCACTGCCGCCTCGATCCCGGCGAATTCGACGATGCTCGTCTTTTGCGTTTCTCTTGGCAAGGGGAAGGACAGGCACAGGTCAGAGACAGACAGCAGTCAGTGGTGCTGTACCGAGAAGCAGCGCCAAATTCCAAATCTTGTTCCAAATTACGCCGCCGTTGGGGGGCGCGCGGTAGAGACTTACAGGTACTCGCAGGACTTATTCTGTTCTCTCGTCTGCGGCCCCCCACCACCCGTCCTACAACGTCCTAGCGTCCTCCTGCACTCGTGCAACTCGTGCAACACACTCTGCTTCTCTCAAGACCACCCGGGGTAAGACCACTATCCTGTATGTCGACTTGTCACCCTTTAAAACACCTTTGCTTGCCCTTTGTGATAAGCCTGTGCTGCGCAATGAGGGACCAATGCGCGCAATGCAAGATTATATCGTTGGCGGTCGCCTCTTGTTCTTGAGACGAGAGTCAAGTTGCTGTTGGCTCCTTTTCCTTGCCAATGGTCTCCTCCCTACCCACAGCAGTAGGATTGAACACCACTACACACTCTGTAGCTGCTACACTTTTCAACATCGAGGTGCGGATGAATACGGCACGTACGAATTCGCGGTGGGTTGTGGATTCATCGCCTGCGTGCTGGAACTGCTATACTACTCGGCGCATAGGATATATGCTGACTGCTGGTGTGCTGTGCGAACTCAACGGCGTTCACCCAAGTTCACCCACCAACTTTCGCGATGCCAACCCGCCAGGGTGTAAAATTGTTCCTGGAATGTGTTGAAAAGTTCAACTTTGAGTTCCCGCGGGTGCGTGTGTAGTCTGTGTGTGACAACGTGGCAGCGTAACTGCTGCTGTACAGAGTCTCCAGAACACTTTACAGTATAGCGTCATATGCATCCTGCATTGGTAATCACGTTGGATGCAGGACTAATTTACTAATTTACCACATCTATATACAATGCAGTCGGGTCTCGTTTTCATGATTGCTGTTCCTCGCCTTTGTCCGCTAAATGTCGAATCCGTGTGCTGTGATCCGAAGTGCATCTGCTACTCCGCTGTGATGCGAGCTTTCGTTTGCGCTACTGGACCGCCGTAAGAGGGAAGACATTTTTGAGCCACCTTTGGCAAAGTAGGAAGGGTCGCACCGCAATAAGTTGTGCGCGTTTCATACGGCGCATGAACAAAGCAGTCCCCTTGCTTGGCTCACTTTACCCCGTAAATGTTGTTTGGCGGCATGTTCAGTGTCACGTCTCAACTACGTATCAAGTTCCTGTGTACCGTTCGCACATCACATTTCTGGGCCCCATGGCATGGCCTCGATGCGTACTGCAGTAGGTATGCAGACCACCTTTCAATTTTAGACTATCGGTTAAAAGTAGGTTCTTAGCCACCTCCCTGCGGCAGGTAGGTAAGGACCAATAGTTCTAGAGAAATCCGTGCACGCGTGATCGTAGAAATGGTTGGCTTGTTCACTTCGTCTGAGGGGAACATGCGGGGATAGATTTACTTCCCCTGGATACCCCGCGCTTGGGCGTTCATTCATTCGTGCGTCGTGTGACTTCATACGTGTACATCCCATACCAGCCCCGTACACGCGCGTTTGACCTGCGCACCCGACCGGTCGCCCTCTCACCCACCGCTTTTGCAGCCGCTTTGTGTAGTTCGTGAAAGCTCTCTAGGGCAAAAGGCCACCACCTCGGCCAAGCTATCTATTGTAGCTCGAGCGACACATGGCTTTATGTGTCCCCACCTGTAGAACCGAGTTTTTTATGGACGTCGCGACTGCTGCTGGCGTCGCGAGCACCGTTTTTACCATCTGTTTGGACGTGTGGATGAATTCCATCGCCCACCCACGCCGGCGTGGTTTTGCCGGTCCGCATTTTTTTTTTTTTTTGTTCTTCACTTCACATCAGCGCTCACAGCACTAGTGCCGTTTATTCCAACCCGTGGTCACACAGAAGAGCCTCTTTCTACCCTCCCCTCCTGCGGTACTTTGCCTTCGATTGTTAATGCGAGAAGAATTCAGCACTCTCTTCCCTCTGTGTTCACACGAACTAGCGCTACAATCCACTTGCAAACATACATGCATACATACATGCAAACATACATGCAAACACAACAGCTTGTGGTTGGTTGCCCCATCGGCGCGAGCGGTTCGTTCGTTGCTACAAAGCTTTATTATAAGTATCTCTTCCGCGTGCCGTAAATAAATGTGATTGATGACTTTACCTTTGGCTGCTTGCCGTGCCGTACTACATGTCGAGCCAAGGTTCCACGTTTTGTGGCCGTGAGATTTTCGTGTGAGAGAGGTACAGAGGGGATTCACACAAGCTGTCAGAGCACAAGACAAGAGAAGCTCGTTGCTGCTGTGCTTCCTTGCCGCAGGCGATACGATAGCCTGACCACAAGAGCAGCAGCAGCAGGAGGAGGAGGAGAAGAAGAAGCGTCAGCGGCCTCAATTCATACACAGACTTCTACCGGCAGATAAGAAGAAGAAGAAGGAGAGACGATGGCTTCTTTCGACGAGAACGGGCGCAAGTACACGCCCACCAAGAAAGCCTACAAGAACGAGGGTTTCATCAATTCCAGCCAGGTGACCAAAGTCAAGGTAGAAGGGTGTTGCCTGTGAGCAGAACGTGTTGCTCGAGTATTTAGAGTGTTATTGTGTGCATCGAATAGCATTGTCCCCATTCTCCGGCACGTTCTCTGTTCATAATCCTGACAGTAGCGGCGTAAGGGGACGTGAACCACCCATACCCCCATCTCATTGGGTTCCCTTGAGGGTGGCCACCACAGCCACCTCGCCAGTTTCTCGGAGAACGTTAACGCGGTGTTGTCGTCGAACATGGCATCGCACGGGTCTTGTGTGCTTTGTCTTTAGTCCGGCCCCAGCCTTGCACCGCGGCTGGCATTTTGTGTACTCGCCCTAATAAACGTGGTTTGAGAGATCCTTGGTTGCTTTTTGATCCCGATGACCGATGAAAGTTGCGAGACAACACAACACAACACCGTACCGTACCGTACCGTACCGTACCGTACCGTATCACACGGTCCAGGTGGTTGCGTCCCGCAATATGTCTGTTAGTCTTACACAAGTCTTACTCTTTCAATGTCGGTTGGTCTATCTTACAAGGTATTGCAGAAGTAAATGTTAGTCTTATCCTACGGAAGCGGACCCCGCCATACGAAAAGGTTTGAGGAGAAGAGGGCGTAAACGGTGAACCACTTGTGGCACGAGGGTCGTGGGGTAAGGGCATGCCATGCTAATGGGCAATCGTGTTGGCGATCTGTTTGCCATCTACCATAGGTGTTTTAACTCCCTCGTCTCGCTTGTCGACGTTGACGTTGCATCACAGCTCCCCTGGAGGCGCGTAACGTATTCGGAAGCAAGCCGTCGCCCTCACTCACGGACTCTCGGTTTCCCCCCACGCTTCCCTGTCGTGTTTGGCGGCACTGCTGCTGCTGCTGCTACTGCTGTTGTTGCTGTTGCTGCTGCTGCTGCTGCTGTGTGTTTCGTTTCCTCCCGTCTTCGCATGACATGGCATGGACATAAATGCACACATGTGGGTGCGCACGCTGGGGGGGGGTATACGGACATAAGGCAAGAAATATCCGCATCATGTGCGAATACGAGGAGACTCTGCTCCGCCTCAAGGAGAACAAGATCAAAGGTCAGTTGTGAGTGACGTCGTTGGCCGTGACATACACGACAGAGTTTTTTTTTTTTACGGCGACGAGACAAAGGGCGAGCCCTTGGTGACGTCACGAGCCCCAATGCATCATTAGAGTTGGGTTTCCCTTATTGAGCTGTTGGTGTTGATGCCGGAACCCATTGAATAGTGTTTGGGAGAGAAATCAACCGAAATTTTTGTGCGGGGGGCGGGAAGGGAAGACAGAAGAGGCGAGGTACCGTCAAGTCTTTCCTCTTTCACTGTCATGCGGTTTGCGCGTCTGCTGCAGATGGCGGATTCGGCGGCTATGCATACCTGGTGAACTCTAAGTTAGTGGCATTGGTTGACTTTTTTTCGCCTCGGGATGAAGTATTTTACTGTAAATCGATAGGTGAACGAATTGTTGCCGATTGATTACAATTTTCGAACTCAACTCTTCGAAACGAGTAGTTTTGTGTTGTTTAGCACCCCCCCGGCCCCGCCCCCGGCGTGTTCGCTGTGTGTGGCGCGCCTGTTTTGTACGAGCGCATAATGCAGTACTGCTGTACAGTGTACT